CCAGCCTTTAATTCCTTTTCACAAGTTGGAAACTCAGCTGTGTGGGATCTTGCCCTGAGGTCACCACTCCCTTTGTTCCATTTATTAATTTGTTTGTCTCTCTGAACACACACTTAGCTCCATTCCACTTCCCTGTGCTCCTTTCCTCCTCAAATCGTACATTTTGTATTTTTCCTTGCTCAGTATTTTTTTCCTTTTCGTTATATACCTTCATTAGAGTTAATGCCAATAACCATATGACAGAGTCTATATTAGGCTGTTTTGAGATTTCCTCTACCAGTAGAATTAATCCAAATCTCTCCACTTTAGCCTCAGTCAGATTCTTCAGACAAGGACAAAAAACAGCCACTTTCTTCACCCAAATATCACAAGAATGATCTCTAGGCAACATACTAAAATTCTTCCCCTCTGAAACCTCTTGAGCCAGCCTCCCATAGTTCAAATCTTCCATACTCCTATCAGTATGGTCCATTAAGCAGTGCTTAAAGCATTCTACCATGTTCCTAACCCAAAGTACCAAGGTCCAAATTCCTCTAAACAAGAACATGATCAGGTCTATCACAGCAATACCCCAGTCCCTGGTACCAACTTCTGTATTAGTTACAGTTTCTATTGCTGTGAAAAGACTCCATGACCACAGCAACTCTTATAAAGGAAACCACTTAATTGGGGTGGCTTACAGTTTTAGAGGTTTAGTCCATTATCATCATGGTGGGACATGGCATGCAGACAGATATGGTGCTGGAAAAAGAGCTGAGAGTTTTATGTCATGATTCACAGGTAACAGGAAGTGAACTGTGACACTGGATGTAGCTTGAACATAGGAGATCTCAAAGCTCACGCCCACAGTGACACACTTCCTCCAATAAGGCCACACACACTCCAACAAAGTCACACCTCCTAATAGTGCCACTGCCTATGAGCTTATGGGGGCTAATTACATTCAAACTACCACACTACCTTAAGCCTCTGAATATAGGGAAGAGATAACAGTTGTATAATGATCACCCACTATGATTGTTGTCATTTTTTTTTTTTGAGACAGGATTTCTCTGTGTAACAGCCCTGGTTGTCCTGGAACTCTCTTTATAGACCGGGCTGGCCTTGAACTCACAAAGATCCACCTGCTTTTGCCTCCTAAGTGCTGGGATTAAAGGCATGCAACATCATGCCCAGCGATTGTTGTCATTTTTATCATATATTACATTCTAAGTATTTTCCAAATGCAACATGGCTCTTCCTTTGCCTGTTCTTTTCCTGGACATCAAAATGAACAGTGTCTCTCCCCCCACCCCCCAGCCATGTGTATGTGCATAGTATGTGCATGTGCAGGTTGAAGCCAGAGGTTGACATCAGATGTTTTCCTCAGTCACATCTCCACCTGTTATTGTTGTGTTTGTGTGAATGTGAGACCACAGGTTGTACATGCCATAGTGTGTGTAGAAGGCAGAGGACAGTCTCAAGTCCTTGGCTTCCACTGTGCTTTGAGACATGGTCTCTTGCTGTTTACCACTTTATGAGACAGGCATTAGCCCCCAGGCTTCAAAGGATTCTCCTGTCTCCACCTCTCTCATGTTCTAGGCATGCTAGATAACAGAAATGCATTATTGCATGCAGCTTTAAATGGGTTCTGAACTCTGGTGCTCATACTTGCATGGCAAGTGCTTTATCCAATGAGCCCTCTACTTTACTTTATTTTATTTTTATTGCATGCAGAATTTAATGTAATTTAAATTTCATTTTATGTATGTGGATGTTTTGCCTGCATGTATGTGTGTGTACCGTGTACATGCCAGGTGTCCTTAGAAGTCAAAAGAGGGTGTTAGATTCCCTAGAACTGGAGTTACAGACAGTTATGAGTCACTGTGTGGGTGCTGGGAATTGAACCTGGGTCTTCTGGAAGAACAGCCTGTACTCTTAACCACTGAGAAATCTCTCCAGCCTTCTCCACCTTATTTTTGAGACAATGTCTCTCACTGGCGCAGGGCTCACCAACTGGACTATATTGGTTGGCCAGGAAGTTCCAAGGATCCTTCAGTCTGTTCTGGAACTCACACACATGTGGGAAAAGATGGATGGCTTCTCCTGGTGGCCTGCCATGGTGGTGTCCTGGAAAGGCACCTCCCAGCACCAGGCTGTGCTTGGCATGCAATGGGGATGGTGGTTTGGTGATGGCAAGTTTTCTGAGGTGAGCTCGGGACAAGGCAGGTCTGGGGGTTCACAGACCTGAGGGCTGGCTTCCCTACGGGGGTTGCTCTGAAGACATTAAACTTTGATGCTGGGTCTGGACAAAGACTTCCAGAGTTACTTCCCTTAAATCAACTCTTGGTGGCATGTGGGATCAGAGACAACAAGTCTACTCTTGATAAGCACAAAGGGTTAGAAAGTTCTGGATGCAGGGCCCCACGGATTTAAATTAATTTTTTTGGCAATTGCTTCTTTGCGGTCAGAGTCACCATTACAGGCCCTGATAGCACAGGAACAGCCAGGCACACCCCCATGCATTTAGAAAGAAGCCTGGGAGGGACAAGAGAGGTAGGTCCTGCCCCTTAGTATCGTTTAGTCCTGCATGGAGGGCAGGCAGGAGGCCATGACTGGATAGGAGTCAGGCAGACTCTATCAGCGAGTCACTCCACCAGACCCCAGTTTGGACCTTACAGCTGTTGAACAGCTGGTCTGAGAGCTACACAGATTTTAAATTGAAGGATGTAGATAGAATGGTTTTCCTGTAATGGTCTCCTGGGAATGTTACTCAGTGCTCGATCAACTCACAACATAAGAGACAGGGACACAGGGAATGGGGCAGGATGAAAGCACATGGGAAACTATTAAGAACATTCCTGGGAGGGGGCGAATGGGGGCTGGAGAGATGGCTCAGAGGTTAAGCGCACTGGCTGCTCTTCCAGAGGTCCTAAGTTCAATTCCCAGTAACCACATGGTGGCTCACAACCATCTATAATGAGATCTGGTGCCCTCTTCTGGCCTGTAGGTGTACATGCAGGCAGAACACTGTATACATAATAGATGAATAAAAAAAAAAGAACATTGCTGGATTGCTGGGGGTGGGGGAAGGCTGGAGAGATGAATCAGCTGTCAGTTAAGAGCTCTTGATGCTCTTCCAGAGGTTTAGTGCCCAGAATCCACATTGGGCAGCTCAAAAACCTCCTGCACTCTAGTTCCAGTGTATCTGATAACACCCTCTTCTGCCTTTTGAATACACTAGCACACATGTGGCACACATTCACATGGACAAATACACATAAACAATTATAGGCCCTTTTAAAAAGAACATTGCTAGGGTTCAGCCTCCATTTGAGGTTCTGATTTTCTCATGAGTTACTTTCCCTTGGGGTCATTTCCACGCATAAAATTTCCCAAGAGAGGCAAAAAAAAAAAAAAAAAAAAAAAAAAAAAAAAAAAAAAGGTATCAATCTATGAGAAACTTCATGTAGTTGTGCCGTGTGACCAGCAGAGGGCGTAAAAGGATAAGTGTCCTGGGCCTATGCTGGCCACGGAAGCATCACACTCTGGGATATGTGCACAATGCCTTGTTTGGCATAGATGAGGGATGCTTGCTATATCCAGTGAGATGTAACAT